AAAGAGTGTTACATAATTTTGGCAGCTTGGCAGACCTGCAAAAGATGCAAGACCTCAGTTTTTATATTCAGTCCTTTAAAGAGCATTCTCCTTATGCTTGCTGACTTCCTGATAGTGAATGGAGATTTACCTACACACAGATGGAGATCTACAGGTGGAGGTACAGGAGTCTGAGAACATGGAATCTACCACCAAGTGCAAAACTACTAAGCTGTCTGACCCTTATGCATGTAGGGCTCCTTCAAGGAATTGAGGTACACAGATTAAAAGCCAGAAATACTAGGAATTTGCTTTCATGAAGTACTCTACCCTTGGTGTTGATATATATAAGAAGAAATATTTAGGTGATCTACAGATAATTGGGAAGTGGCTAAGGAAGGGTGATGGAAGAATGAAAACACTGCTAAGAAGTAAAACACCAGACCTCTTTGTTGCTATATAGAACATTGCGGGGGGGAATGTGAGTTTTTCCTGAAAGATTTAGATGCACAAGTTTAAGTATTTCCTGTTTGATATGTGCATATGCAGTAATGTAGGGCAGTTGCTTCCCCCAGAAAATCAATTTGAACTTTAAGGGAAGGATGTTTCCATTGAAAATGATCACTTTAATAAGAGAGCAGGAAATCTGAGCAGCAAGACTGTTGTTACATTCTTGCTGGGACTGGGGTAGTTGGAATTATGTGCTGTTGTGATACTCCTGGATTTCTGAAAGAACCTTTGGAAAACATTTAGTTAGGTTCAGTATCGTTAGGAGCAGGCAACCTTTTTCTTTGGGCGAGTTCTGACTTTTGAGAAGGCTTCTTTAAGACAGGTGCATCTGAACTGCAAAACTGCTTTTGCCTTCCCATGAAGTGATAAATACTTTCTGTAAAAACTATTATTAAGCTTTTAGGCATTGCTGTGCCCTGTAACTTGTCTAACACTGGCTAAGGAGCTAAGGGTGAGAGAAGGGGTACTAAACTTCTGTGCACCCATCTGAGAAGGTAAAAAATCATGCTAGGTCCTCTTTGCTGTCAAACTAAGAAGTCTGTATAGGAATGTAGGACAAGGTCTGGATTATTTTTCTGAAGGGGCACTTCCTCCAAACAACAGTGCTGCCTTTGGGCAATATTTATGTTCCCTTCTTAACAGCAAAATAAAATTTTTTTTTTAAAAAAAGTATTTGCTATAGGCAAGGTCTTATATCTTGGTCTAACCTTTGTATCCATTCTGAAATTATATTTGCAGTTACCCATCAGAGCATCCTCTGATAAACTGTATTCTGTTAGACAGTAGCAAAGATGCTTCACTGCTTGGTTTTTGGCATTGTTGGCTATAATAATGTATTGTGTACATGTATAAGTTTGTGTCATTTTGCCAGTAAATTATATTAACTGTTAAAGAAGTGATGTTCACTTCCTGGTTTTTGTTTTGAAATGTAAGGTAAAAATTGCTTTCGTCATTAAAGCTGTACACACATGCACACACCAGCTGTATGTGGTGTTCTTGGATGTCCCTAGGCATGTATCTGCTGCTTCTTTTCGTGTTCACGTTTGGGTTGGGTTGAAAGTAACAGTGGGGCTTGTTCTTAGGATTTCTTTCTTTTTTTAGAACGCCAAGCATATTGTTACACAACAAATGCATTGGCACTTGATTGCCTGTCATGCACAGATCTCCTTTCTGTTCAATCCACTTCTATGTGTTTCATATTCTCATGTCTTTTATTGCCTGTAAAAAATACCAATATTTTTATTGCCTGTAAAAAATACCAATACTAAGGTACTCTTTTCTAGCTCTTAAGACCTGTTGTCCACTTTGTAACCTTTCTCGTTTAAGGAGTAGGGCTTTACGGCAAGAAGTATCTGTTGTGTTGAGTCTTCTGCAGCTCTGATCTGTTTGGCAGAACCTAACAATAATTATTTCACTCTTAATTTAATCTTAAAGCATTTACCATCTGTCTAACAAATTCTTACCTTAGAGCGCTCACAGTTTACACTTACTGAATTAGCAGAAAGTTCACCTTCCCTGGCCTCAGTGTTGAAGGGCACTGAAAATTCATTTTGCTAGATTAAATTCCTGGTTACCTGCTTTAGTAGTTGGGGAACGGGTGGGTTACAGCTCGTTAAATCTGGGTGAGGCAAGTTGTTTGCTAATAAATTCAAACATCGGATAGAAAGTACAATAGAGAAGGTTTAAAAAAGGGTTATGAATTCCAGTTCTAGAGTGTTACTCTTTGTTTCATTTTGCAAGGCAAAAACTGCACTGTGATCTTGTCTGATGCGATTAACATGAAGAGCCAAGAAAACTTACCTGATTAGAATAACTAAGTAATATTGCCAAGCTTGTATTCCCAGAAGGTAGGAAAAAAGGGGCCATATGAGTTTCAGAGTTATGGAAAACACTGAGAAAATGGATGTTAAAATGTGCTTTAGGCAGTTTGCTCAACAATACATCAGGGAAACTTCCAAGTCTACATAGCGATTACCCGATCGCTGAACATATTATTTAATTGTAGAACCACTTATATTCCATCTGTATTTCTCAAACCCAATCTTTCCAGATGTCTCAGACCAGTTTTATAGGCACCAGACACATTAGGGAACAAAAGGCTTTCCAATATATACTCATATTATCAAACATAGTCGCTAACTCTCACCAATATCAAATGTGCATCACATGTTAAATCCACGTTCCAATATTGAATCCTTTTGTCAGCAGTTTGTGACTTTCATAACTCACTGTAATTCTTCAGAGGTCTCAAATATTGTCAGTTTCTAGAGTTTAATAGTCAAAACTGTCAAGCACACAAAATATTTTCAAAGTGATCTCTGAAGGGTTCAGTGTAATTATTTTTCACATGTTTTAATGAAAATGGCTTCACAGTTCTACATTTCCTTTCCCTAACTGAGTCACTCTGAATCATGCTGTTGTGGGGGGAGTCTGCCTGGGAATCTGGACTAGAATTACTTTTCAGCATGGGTTTGGGGATGGTGGCCAGAGGATGTCCCTTCCTCGAACTTTCTTAGATAAGAGAGGAATCCACGAATCGTACTCCCTGTACTTGGACCTAAACCATGTTAGCTCTTTGAGAAGCAGGTTCAAGAATCCAGAGTGTCTCCCCCATTTTCTGCTGCTTTGCTTTCAGAGCCGTTTAGAATTTTCTAAGTCCTAAAGGCTGCAGCCAGCAATGTCACAGCTAATTACTTTACCTGCAACTCATCAACTTCATGAAGCAAAGTGTATATTAGTGTTTTTCCTTTTTGCTCTGAAGACTTTTACTTTTCTACAACTGTTGAGATAGATTTAAGCTTTATCTTGTAAATAGCTTTCCTCGACCTCTCCATACCCCGTATCATGCATACACAAAGAGCACATAATAGCTATTTGTATGCAATTTGAAAGAGCCAAGATAAACCCCAAAGAAGAAAATGTTGAAGGAATCATAAATAATATGTTGTTGTTTGGAAGGGGAGAAGGCAACTCCATGAACTGAGTGTTGGAATATGATACTGGATCAGTAAATGACATGAAACAGATGTAGGTATTTGTGGGAATGGTATATAGGAGATTAAAATTTATGGAAATACCTGTTAAAGAAAAAGACTGAAACACAGTGGGCTGTAAAATCACCTGTGAAATCTTACTAGGCATTTCATTCAATTTCCAAAATGTAGCTTTCTGTGAATTAATACTGTATTTTTCTACTGAAATTTCTATGAGCCTTTGTAATTTTCTTTCTCCTTTGCCTCAGCATTGTGAACTCACATGTCTCCAGATAACTGATCACATGTGAATAGCAAGCGTTCATGATACCCTAGTTATCACAGGGGAAGCACTTTCTGAAATTCTTATATCATTGAGTTAATTTATGTTCCTCAATAAATCATAAATGAATCATGTACTTCCTCCCACAAGGAGTGTGTTTCACTATTTTGGATTCTGCATTTTCTTTTAACACTGTATTAAACTACGTAAAAGGGGGATAGAAGTAAAACTTTTGCTTTAGTCACCCTGTGAAGTGAAAGGGGAGAACTGATAGGAAAAGGGTTTATTGAAAGGGTGCATGGTTTATCCTTGCTAGCCAACTCTCTGTCCTGGCCTCTTACTAGGTGCTGGAATTCAATAAGTAAAGATTTAAGATATTATGGTTAAAAAAAAAAAAAAAGCAGTCATGGAACCAACATTTTGTGTTGTGAACTATGTAGTTAAAATGACCAGTCTGGTGACACAGGGCAGTGAAGGTTTGGCAAACTACAAGGGCTTGAGAAGAGTCTTAGTGAATTCAGGCAGCCCAAGATTACATATAAATAAATAAAATATGTGCTTTTCTGGATTAGGGCCTAATTAAAGAATTGTCAAGTTGATCAGACTTGTGCATATCAGCTCAGTCTGTTTATTTTTCCACGTTACCAATATTTTTGAAACTTACTGCCCTGATACCAAACATGTGCAAGCTGCAAATTAGCTTTCATGCTGTATCTACAACTTAAAAGATTTTAAATGTATTGAAAATGCAATCCAAACCAGTCACGACTTTCTTCCCCTTACTTGTTTTTTCTCAGAGATTGGCAGTCAGAAATTCCACAGATACAGCCAAGAGAAGACACTGAAGTGGTTAAAGAAAAAGGTATTTTGCTTCTCTTTTGCTTTCAAAATCGCTTTATGTTTAAAATGAAAATGCTTATTAGTTTGTCCATAACTGCATTTGAGCTATGTGGTATGCCTCAGTTCAAGGTATGTCTCCTGTCCAAGAAGGACAGACATCACAGCAAAGTTGCTGCACTTGGGAATGTGATGAGGTATTAGAAAAATGACAGGTTTGTTACGTTTCTCTTTCTGATGGGGCTGGCATGAAAGGGATTCATGGAGTGTGGGGAGGCAGAAGAAGCTGAAGTTCAGCTTATCGCTGTGTTCTGTAGGCTTTGCTTAAGGTGAGGTGCTTGTCTTTTGCTTCATCCACTTCACGGATGGGCTAGAGGAGAGCTTTGACTGTTGCAACTTTTAAATTCTGCCATGCTTTAAAGCTGGGCAGAAGTGCCTTGGTTTTGTGCTACAAATGGTTTTCCTTGCGAAGTTTTGGCAGTCTCTCAAAATGGTCCTGGTATGGTTGCTGCTATTCTGATCCAATCACACTGTTCAAGAGGTCTGTACAATACGCAGAAAATAAGCTAGTGTTATAGCTAAGCTTGATGTGGTCTGTGTTTTGGTATAAAGAAGGCAAATCTATTTTTACACATGCACATGTGCCCCTGCTATGATGCCACTTTGTAGAAAAGGATTGTATGTATCACGTGGTACAAGGAAGCTTTGTCCTTTAAATGAGTCAACACAAGCACAAAATCTGGTCTACTTTCTGCAATGATGCGGCATGGGAGGTATCTATTTTGCAATGAATACCTGAACATTTACATTTGAACAGGTACCCATTTGTGTTGTTGAAAATATCTTCTGCCAGTTATCTCTCTGTTAGATCCAGTATAGCAGTGCCCTGTGAAGTCCTTAATCTTTGATTTCCATCAGGACTGCCTTTGCAATCCAGCTGAGCTCGGGCATTCCCTGTTCTCTGAGCAGGTGTATTTCTAACCTTTATAATCATGGCTGTTGCATCTGAGTAGCTCAGCTCATCTTAGGGTGCTGCAAAACTGGTGCTGTGTTGCCAAGGCAACGTGTTCAAAGACATGCTAGTTTCTTTGGGTTTTTTGAGCTCATATGTTAGTCATTACAAATGTATATTAAATTTCACCACAGTCCATAACTTGAGTGTTTTATATGCTTGAAACAAAATTACAAGAGCTTTGTCACTGCATTAACATGTGCATAACAACACTGATACAGCCATTTCATTCTATGGTTTCCTATAGGTCAATCAAACAGTGAAAGCACTTAAAAGCAACAATATATCTGTAGGTGAAAGGGTACATGCAGCTACATTTATCAGCGGTAAACCGATCACAGATACTGAAGAAGGTAAGAAAGCTAGACATTATAATGAATTCCATTTTTGTGAAATCGCATATGTGGAGATAAAACACATTATTAAGATCTAAAATGTATTGAAATTGGCCTTTGCAGTAAATTTATTCCTTGTACAGAAAATTCCATATATGTTGTGACTGTGTGCTTTGACTTTTCTGAGTTCTCTGGTATCTTCATTGTATGACATTCTAATTAACAGTAGGTCTCAGCTGGGGTTCTTTTAGCTTCTCCTCAGTTCAAGGAGGTGTTTTTCTGAGTGAACTATATGCTGAAGTGCTTTGCTGAACTGAGACTGTCTTGGACAATAGGACACATGCTTATAATATATATGAGTATCCACCCAATAAGTATCTCTGTGTTAGAACAGACTTCTTTTTTATTATTATTTTTATTAGCATGCAAATGCTTTTCATAGAATTCTCCAAAAAGGGAAGGGATCTTAGGAAGTCATAGGGTAAAAGCTCCTGGTCCAAACATTACTTTATGTAACAAATGTATAGAGTACACAAGTGTGTGCTTATTAAGGGCAAAAACTTTAATAATACGTGTATTAAATTGCCCTGAAATTGACAGTCCTGGTACGAAAGTCTGGAGTGATCCTGCTTGCTTCTGGTCACCTTTTCCCTGGGGAGGGCAATGTCCTGAATGTTACTGGGATATGAAATTGTGTAGAGAACCCTGAAAATGGACTCGGAATAAATTCTTTGCATGTTAATGAAAATTAAGAAAAGTTTAGAACAAGACAAACAAAAGCAAATTGTTTCTTACTGCAAAGACATTCAGAAGTCTGCATGCTGTTGAAAAATAAGGAGAAACAAAGCAACTTGCTGACCAAGTGGAAAATGAGTGACCAAGTAATGATATCAAAGGAAACAACATAAATGAGATTTAAGAGGCAACTAGACAGTTTTATAGAACAGAGATTGTAATACATGGTTTTTAAAAAGAGGCAAAGCTGCAAAACTTGCAAGTGACTTTAACTTTACAGTAGCTTTTCATGCTTTTCCCATTTTTTAAAGAAAGGGAAAATTGTCCTGACAGCAACCACCTTGACTATACTTAAATACTTTATCTCTGAAATTTGTAATTAAACAGTTCATCTGCAGTGTTTTCTCCACCTTCCTTCTTACTTATAGTAACATGGATATAATAGGCTTTTAAAAAGCTTTTTTTTAGATTTAAAAGAGCAGCTTTGAAATGGGGAATACCGGGGGTTAAAAGTAGGTAAGTTTTGGAGGCAGTCCCGCTGTATGTTGCAAGGTGAATGACAGGAAGTCAAATGGACCTTACTCAACACTTAAGACTAATTTTCTTGTCTGATCCTTTCACTGCCATGACAGTGCAATTTATTTCTGTAGAGAATTGCTTTCATAGGAGTGTTATGAAATTTCAGTACCTTATAAATAGATGGGTATGTGTAGTTAGCATCTACAGATGTTGCAGGACAAAAAATATAATGAGTGCAAATGAGGAAGGAGGGGAGGTTTAACACGAGACCTGTATATTTCATTCAGAAGACAAAGAAGGGAAGTGCGCAAGTATTTCTGATGTTTGACAGGAGGTTAATAACAAAGCAAGGCTAGGATGAGAACACAGACTCTCTAGAAGGCAAACAGTGGTATTTTAAAATTGGTAAAGGAAGTCAGTAAAGGTTGCTTCAAGGCAGAAATGCAACGAGAATGGATTTTGTATTTAGTACAAGATAATAGCAGTTGACTTGGACTCACCATTCAGTGTCATAATGCAAAGAGTGAAGTGATGGGAATGTTTTTCTTAAGCAATAAATTGGACGTATTAAGTGCTGAGGTGAAATTGTCTTAGACTGGAATTATTTCTTGTTCTCTCCTGACCCTAAAGTGGGCTTAGGGAGTGACAAATCCTTGATGAATCTAGGCAGTGGAGGAAGGAGAAGTGCAGATAGGAGATACTAAGAATTTGATGTCAGTATAGTTGAAATGCATATGCTGGTGTCAGTTTGTTAATGCTTTCTGCTTCCATGCCAGTTCTTACTGGGTTTTTTAGGTTGAAAAAAAAAAAGAGGAAACTATCTCTGCACAGAAGAAATAGTTCTCTACCACCCTGAGACTAGTTTACCATGTGCTGTGTGTAGGGATATGAACGGATAGAGCTGGTCTGTTGTAGATGGAATTCAGAGGCGAGATTTTAGCTTAATATCTGGCAAATACTTCCTGTGCATGGGTACAGTTACTCCCTAGCAGCCCCGACAACAGCAAGTTTAAAAGATCCAGCCCATGATCAGTAAGTGCTTGAGTAGAATGTGACAGGCAAAGATCTGTTTTAGGACTTCATGTAATAAAAGGGTCACTTTTTTTTTCCCGTCTCTCAGAAGAACATTTATAGGAGTGCCCTGTACTGAAAACAGCTTCTAGTAGTTCATATTTCCACAGATAATTATCCTGTCTTGCCAGTGATGTTTAGATAGGCCTTGGCATTTTCCATAAAGTACTGAAATTAAGTACAAGACTTTGAAATAGACTCATTGTCTCATCTAATTGTTTTCAGTTGAAGCCAGAAAATGTACTTTAGTACTGAAGCCCTTGCCAAATAATTGTAAGATCCAGATGCTTTAAAATTAATGATTGCGTGTTCTGTTGAGTCAGCTTTTTACTTTTGCAGGTTTTTAAAATTTAATTTCTTTGGAAAAATACATGATATCTAGTATTCTTAGAAAGTGAACAGCTTTTGTAAAGTACATACAGCAGATATTAATAACATGTGCTGACAAAGTGAGTGTAGTAAGTCTTTACTTTTTAAATAAACCTACAAGTGTCATATAACATAAACTACTCAACACAGAGAACCATCACAGTGTATCCATTAGAAGTCTCTTACTATTAATTCAGCTTTATGATTTATGGTAGCGCGTGCAACATGGCTAAGGCAACATGACTACATAATGTGAATGTTCTTTTTCTTCTCCTTCCCACTCCCTGCCCCGTTCCTGAAGACTATGTACGGTATGCCCATGGATTAATATCAGAATATATTCCTGAAGATCTGAGTAAGGAGTTGTTAAAATACTTAGGGTAAGTATTGTTCCAGCTAGCTGCTACTTTTGTATGATGTGCATTAATGTCCTTTTGGTCATTTCTGTTGAATACTGATACTTGTTCACCAAGGTTGCAGTGAATGACACAATGAGATTATATTTGCCACACTTTAAATGTGATTTTTTCAAATGTAGATTATGCCTTTCTGTTGTTCCTATGATGCTAAGGACCATGGGCCGGAGGAGAGATGTAATATAGGTCTCTGTCTGTTATCACAGTTGCATCATGAAATCCTGAGCAATGTATCCCATTTTAAAGCAAGGCAGGGAAGGAAATCCAAGTTGTCCAGAATTGTCAAGCATGAACAGCAGAGCCAGGAGTAGAATCCTCATCCCCAGTCCTCTTTCCTTTTCCCTACTCACTGAGTGCGGCTGGGATTTGACTTCACATATGTAACCGTATTAGTTTATATTTAAATCTGGAAGGTGAGCCAGCATCCTCATCCTGGTGTTTCCTGCCAGCAGCAGACTTTGCTTGGAGCATCACTGGGACCCTGCGTCTGCCCCTCAGTTCAGTTCTTTTTAAATGGTTCATGTTACGGTGGCCTGTAGAAGAATGTGCAATTTGCAGCTTCAAGTCCCATAGCTTAACAGTTTCATTGAAGAGATGTTATGTGCTTTGTAATATCATCTTACTAATAGCCAAGGTTTTCAAAAGTAAGCTGGAGTTCTCCTGTTTTGGTTGCAAGATCTAAGAACTTTTAAAAGAGCCCAGGTTTCTGTATGGTGCCTGGCTCTGTTTTAGTTATCTAAGTCAGAAATGCAGAGTCCACGAGCTGCTTTTCTTGCAAACGCATGCCATGTGTAAGCAGCTGATAACCAAAGAAGTCTTTGTGGGGAAGGAATTGTAAACTTTAGGTTGTGCAATCCAGCTGTCTTAATTTATAACTTAAAATCTTTTGTTCTGCAGGCTCCCAGAACTTAAAAGCCTGGCACCAGAGCCACCATTGAAGGTAGGAGGACATTAAGATATTGGCAGATACATTGTGTTGTAAGCTGATTTCTCTGAATTATTATTAAAACTAGACTAGGCCAAGCACTGGGTACAATACAGTAAGTAAGTTGGCCTTCCGAAAAGCCAGTCTGAAATAATGCAAGAGATTTACCAGGTACTTGTTATTTTTTAATAAGGAATATTTTGGTTGTTTTCCT